TCTGTAAAGACTGTTGTTGTTGTGAGGTATCACTGAGTCAACTTCAACTCAGGGCTACTTTATGAACAATGGATCTGAACCTTATCCCTCCCCGTACCGCCTTCAACATCTCTGGTATTCTCAAGCCTATTGCTACAATCACTGTGTCAGTCTTGCAGTTGTTTCTCCTCATTTTGAGTGACTTCCCATCTGGGCTCTACCCCTGGTACTATATCTCACCTTGCTCCTCTATTACCCAGTATTATTCTCATTGTGCTCCTCCATTGTTCAATTTGAAGTCCTGTTTTTTCAGAAGTGGATGACCAATCTTGTTTCCTAGTCTGTCTTAGAAGTTAAGCGACCTCAGTACAGCAAATTTACAGACAAGTGCTGTACTCATAGTATAAACAATAAACAAGCAAGGCTGCTCCTGGGAGGCAAGGATTCTGAAGCTTCATCTGACATACTTTGGACATGTTGTAAGGAGGGACAGATCCTTGGAGAGGGATGTCATTCTTGGGAGGGTGGTAAGACGGCTCAGGAGAGGAAGACCCTCAATGAGATGGATTGATTCAGTGACGGGGTAATCAGGGTGGCTGTGTCAGAGACAGTGAGATTGGCACAAGACAGAGCAGAGTTTAGGGCTGTTGTAAAAAGGGTCGCTATGAGTTGCAAGTGACTCAATGGCACATAACAACAATAATAATATACATACTAGATTGATTCAGGTTGGGGAGCAGGAGTGGCATCCACTTCCTAAACTAGATGCCTCTGGAAACTCTATATACTCTGTAAATGTAACAGAAATGACGTTAGTTATAGAACAGAGTTCAGGTCTTTTGTGCAAAGGTCAATATGAGTCTTATTCAACTTGATGACACACTTAACCACTGCTAAATGAGATTAGTGCTGTTATAACTGGAGGAACATTCTTTCACTTTGCACATCGCACTTTGTCAATGTGCTGTATGAAGTAACCTGGGTTTGCTGTGATGCTGAACCTGTGCCATTATGATATCAAATACCATAGTGGTTTCCCATTGTGGACAGTCTTTGGTGGAGCTCCAAGTTGTAAAACAAGTTTGGAAGCAGGAGTGGCATCCACTTCCTAAACCACATGCCTCTGGAAACTCTATGAACTTGGAGAAACAGCGATAGTTATAGAAAGGCTTCAAGCCTTTTGTTCATAGGGTTGCTATGAGTTGTGCTCAACTTGATGGCAATCAACAACAAAAACAAGCTATAAAACAAGCAGCAACACCCCTGGAAACAGACAAAACCCCATAGGACAGTTCTCAATCAGGCCCATGGCACAGAACAACAACAACAAGCTGATGCTGCAGAAAAGGGAAGTTGATTAGATAGTGTTACCAACAGCTCCCAAGGGTTTTGGAAAGTGACAGCCTCAGGTCTGCATGACACATTGGAAGATTTCTCTGCAAACATTCTCTGTCCATCCTGAGGCCTGGGGTCCTCAGGATGTCCTGTCTGTCCCTGTGTCTGCTCACATGGTAGTTTTATCCTAAATGTTCTTCCTTCTCTCTGCTCTCTCTCACCATCCCTCTGTGCGTGTGTGTCTTGCTCTCTCTCCTCCCACCCTCCCACCTTACACACACATAATCTCACATACAGGCCAAAAGGTAGGTATTCTCTAGGGTAAATATGAAAATAGTCCAAGAAAACCACATATTTCTGTCTGGAAGGAGACTGTGATATGCAGCAAGGCAGGAGTGTCTGGCGAAGACAGAAGCGGTTAGTTCTAACAAACATTCTAATTCTGCTTCCCCAATCTTTGTTACATTTCCCCCAAGCCCCCAGATTTGGGGCTCCATGAAGACCCTCTGATCTCCCTTTGCTCCATCAATGGACAAGTGGCCCATGAATGTGTAGGATTAACCTGCTTTTGCTTAAGCTCGGGCCAGCCAAATCTTCTGTTCTTAGTCAACAGAGGCAAGGGACATGGAGAAAAGACCCGGATGAGGGGAGAGATTGCTATTGTGTGTTGTTGTTGTGTACTGTTGAGGCAGAACCAACTCATAGCTGACCCTCTAGCAGATTTTCAGAGACAGTAAATATCATGTGAGGAAATTGCTTGTCTTTCTTCCACGGAGCAGCTGGGGGAATCAAACCAAATGTCTTCAGGGTGGCAGCACAGTTCCTTACCGCTAGGTCATCAGAGCTCTCTAGATAGGAAAGAAGGGAAGGATTTTATATGTGTTCTCATCTGAACCTTTTAGCAAGGCTTGTAGCAGAAAGCCTAAGAGGCCAGAGTCCTAACCTTAGCTCTGCTGCTAAATTGGTCAAATGCTAAAATGATCTTGGGCTGGTCCTTTTATCTCTGTGTGTGCATTTGTTTTCTCATCTGCCCATTGGTGTCTTGGCTATCTAGAACTGCTATAGGAGAAACATCACTGGTGGATGGTTTTAACAATAACAGCAAAAATGTATATGTTATACAGGTCAGGGTAAGTCCGTATTTTACAATGCTAGCTCTAGGGGGAAGTTTTCTCTTTCAGCTCTGGAGGAAAGTCCTTGGTTCTTTTCAGTATCTGTAGACCTGACGTTCTTTGAAGATCTCCATTGTTTTTCGGATCAACCTTCCCCGTGGGTCTAAGAACTTCTCAGGACAGGGGCCCTGGATCCAAAGGACATATTCTGCTCCCAATTCTTTTTTCTTGATTGTAGTAGGTACCTCCGATTTCTGCTCACCTTTTTGATAATCTCTATAAACTCAAAAGAATCACTTCTCAGCCTTTTGGTGAAGATCAAGTATAAAAGAGATTGACTAAAGATATGATAGAATCCTGTTAATTATATACTGCTCTGTTGCTCTAATGGTAAGAAACTGTGCTGCAATCCCAGAGGCTCAGGTTCAAATCTACCAGTTACCCCCAAAACATGGGCAATATCCTCTTGTGTGACTTCCTGCCTCTGAAACCCCACTGGAGGTTCAGCTATGGATCAGTTCTAACTCTAAGCATGCAACAATAACAACAAGTCTGTCTTACCAACATCATAGAGGTGAGGATTTAAAACAGCATGATTATATCGGATCACAAATTATTAACTACATAATACTAAGAAGATTAACTACCTCTGAAAACCCACTAGAGGGTCAGGTATGGGTCAGTTCTGACTCCACAGTATTCAACAACAAAAACAACAAGAACTATGGTCCAAATAAGCAGACACATATTTTGAGGGAGAATGATTCAGGCTGCAATAGTTGGTTTTCTAAATGGTCTCTAAAAAGTGTATGAGTTCAAAGTACAAAGGTATCAGATATGTGATCTTAGATTTCTATCATATAGGTTTTAGATCTATATTATATATTATCTTCTTACTAGTACTTCCACACACCTTGTTGCTGTGTTGAAGTTGCTCTAGTTACCATTGAGGATTCTAGCTCATTCATTTTCTTTGTCTGGCTTTTGAGAGTGATCACCAGGCCTTTCTTCCTAGTCTGTTTTGGCCTGAAAGCTGCTCAGCATCATAGCAACACACAAACCTCCACTGAAGGACACGTGGTGGCTGAACATGAGGTACCTGATGATGAGGTGAACGTGGATCTTCCACACAGAAGGATTCCTCCCTGAGCTATACTACTTAACCATCATCAATAACCCCTTTATATAACTTAAAACCTCCTAAAACGTAATCGTGTAGCAATATAAATAATGGACTGATGACTAATAAGGTTCCTAACATTAGGTGATGACAAGCAGACTCTGGTAGACCTGAGTGCCAGCACTAAGTGTGTTGCCTTCCAGCCGCATCAGCTTGGACTGCCGTTCTGGGATAGACTTGTCTCCCACAAGAACATTTAAAAGGAAAGATGCTTGGAGAGTGGCTGAGTGCTATAGAATCCTTGTTATCCCGGAGTCAGATGTCAAGGGCCTGAGATGACCCCTTTTGATGCCTTGCTTATAATTTTCAGAACCTTGAGCAAAGATCAGCTAAATCTTAAACTCTGAGTCTTCTTGCTTCCTATGCTGCAAAGATAGAAGGCATGGTGCACAGTAGTTAAAGAGAGTGACTGGTCAGGATAGATTAAGCCTGAACCCAAGCCCCCAACCCCTACTGTAGCACTGATGCCCCTGGAAGAATTTCTGCCGCCCTACTCACAGCTTCCCATCCACTTAAGTCAGAGGGGATGTTTTCTTCCCCCTGACTCTTCCTCATGCTCCTGTCAGAGTCTCTAAGCCCCACTCTGCTCAGGTGCATGAAGTCCACAGAAGATAGGTTGATGGAGAAGAGTCTTCACATTCCAAGATATCCAAGCTCTGAATCTTGCTCCATCCTGACCCCTGTCTCCTGCCAAGTCTCCCCTGGTCTCACTGGGCATATTAGGGCCCTGTTGTCCTTATGCATGGGCCCCAGACCCAGCGTCCTCTTCACTCCCCAGGGGCTGCCTCTAAATTTTCCTTCCTTCTCAAATATCAGCTCCATCAAATACCTGAGAGATGAAAAACTGGTTTCCATGAATCTTTCCATTGCTGTTGCTTTGTGGAGGGTTGGTTTCTGCTCTGACGTGGACTAGAGGAAGGGTAAACAGCCCTTGAGGAGGACAAAAGGAATAAGGAGAGAGCAAGACATTCAGAACAAAGCAAATTGGTTCTTGTTTTGAGTTAGAATCCCACCACACAGCAGACAACCCCGCCTCTGCCCCTCCTGAGTCTCCAGCCCAGACATTTGTGGTATCGAGTTCGCAAGTGGTTCTTGGATTAGAAGAAGATGCCAAAGACTTGGAGAAGCTGAGCCTTGGATGACTGTCTTACAGGGAGCCCAGAATTCCAATTTCATGCAACCCAACCCTTGCAGGGAAGAAGGAAGGAGAGGTGTAAGGAACGCCCTCTGTGTTTGCTGTGGGCCTGCCTATTGACTCCAGTGGCCTTATCACTAGGCCCTCAGCCTGGGCTGGGCGGGAAGGGAGATTCCATCGCCACTGCATTGCAAGAAAGGAAGGACACAGCAAGAAGGCCGAGGTGACAGGGCGAAGGAGAAGCTCCTAGGTGAACACTATGAGGACGCTCATTCTTTTACTGCTGGTGCTCCTGGATATGGAACAGGCCCAGGGGACACTTCACAGGTGAGATGGCATCTCCAGCTTCTGGATCAGCTGGGGCAGCCCCTGCATGCCTAACCAAACTCAGCACTGCCTGAGGTAGGAAATCAGGTGAGGACGCAAGAAGGAATCAGCTTGCGTGAATCCATAGAGAATGTCCAGCAGGCAGCTGCCCTGTGTATGGCCTTGTTTGTTCACCCATGACGGCCATCCCTATATGATCTATTGCTAATGGAATTGCCTGTTGAAGTTCCTGGAAGCTTTTCCTTTTGATAAAGAGTAGGGACCTGCGATTGTGGTTTATGGCTCAAAGCACTGAGAACCTTCTGAAGAGACCAGTTGTTGCTGCCCTAAATAGTTTTTCTGTCCTTTCAAATCAGAGCTACCTGGTTGACCTTCATGTGGATTTGGGTAAAATGTCATCACACCCCACATGCCCCGTTGGTTTTGGTGGTAGTTGCCTTCATATCAACTATTGGTGATTTTGTATGTTGCGGAGTGGGACTGTTCTGTAGGGTTTTCATGGCTATAATAGATTATAGGGATTGACCTAACAAGACAGTCACTATGAACTAAAAACTCACCACAGCAGTACGCTTGGTTGCTTGGTTTAGGGGGTTGATGATAGATGAAGGATTGGCAGTTCAAATCCACTCAGAGGCATCTTTGAAGCCTGCTAGCCTAGTGATCTGCTTCTGAAAGGTCACAGCCATGGTGGGTTACGTGTTGGACTTTAACTGAATAGTCTGTGATTAGAATCTATCAGTTACTCCTTTTAGTAGGGGTCGGGGGGAGATGGTCTGTCTCCTCACGTTAGGATTCAGTGCTTGGGAAGCTCAGTGGAAGATTGATATGGGTCAGAACAGACTCTACAACAGTGAGGGTCATAGCTAGTGAAGGGTAGAGATGCAAATGAGTTAAAGTGAAAAGGCAAGAAGAGGGAAGAGGGAGGAAGGAGCCCTGGAAAGACAGAGGTAAAACCAGACCTTACAGCATGCTGTCAGTAGGAGGGGAAGAGCCATTAGTTATTTTTAACCTTGAGAAGACAATGGCTCCTAGGTGATGCAAACAGTTCAAGTTCTCTCCTAATAGCTGAAAATAGGCACTAGAGTGGTGTCCAGCTTAAGTGTTGTGTTTCCAACAGAAAATCTACAGCTGGAATCCCTCAGTCGCTCCTCTGTAGAAATACAAGGCTGTCCTCTCTTGTTAATATTTACAACTATGGAAACTCAATGGAAGTTTTCCATGTGTGGAAATCAACTCAGCAGTGAGTCTGGATCTTTGCATTTGATAATAATTGAAAGGTCAGTGGTTCAAACTTACCCAAAGACACCTCAGAACACTGGCACGCCAATCTGCTTCCTAGCATAGCATGGGACACCTTGTGAAGCATAGGGTCACCATGAGTTGAAATCAGCTCAATGAAAACCACCATAATGAACAATTGTGTGTGTGTGTGTGTGTGTGTGAGAGAGAGAGAGAGAGAGAGAGAGAGAAATTTGTATTTATAATTAGCCAGCTGGACTCAATTTAGATGATCCCAATTTTGTTGGCAACATCCAAAGCATCATAGTCAGGAGCAAGTTGAACATAGGCCTTCTTCTCTCCATCGGGCCTCATCAAGGTGTTGACTTGGCCACATCAATGTCATAGAGCTTCTTTACAGCTTGTTTAATTTGGTGCTTGTTGGCCTTGACATCCTCAAAAAACACAAGTGTGTTGTTAACTTCTATCTTCTTCATGGCTGACTCAGTGGTCAGCGGAAACTTGATGATGGCATAGTGGTCAAGCTTGTTTCTCCTGGGGGTGCTCTTCTGGGGGTATTTGGGCTGCCTTCGGAGTCTCAGCGTCTTAGGCCGCTGGAATGTGGGCAACGTGTGGATATTCTTTTTTCTGTGGCTGTGGGTGCCCTCCAGGACTGCCTTCTTGGTCTTTAAAGTCTGCTTTGGCTTCAGTTTGGGGAGGGGCAGGGGCTTCCTTCTTCACTTTAGGCACCATCTTCGTAGAAAGAGACCATCATGAACAATCTTAACAGAGCAAATTACCAGACACTGAGAGGTAGGTTCAACTGAACAACCTTCAGGGAAGCAGTTGTGGACAAACCGTTTGCCCCATGTAAGGACCTTCCAGTTGTTAGGTGACATCAGGTCTGTCCCGACTACAGTGACTCCTATGTACCACAGATGAAACCCAGCCGGCTCTGTGCCATCCTTTCAAGCTTTGTCACATTTAGAGCCCACTCTTGGTGGCCCTGGATCAGTCCATCAATTGTTCTAGAAGATTTTCCAGGAGGAAGTTCCCATCGCAGCTCTAAGAGTCTAAGCGTCTATAGGGGCAGCCCTGGTGTGCTCCTTCCAGAACTGTTTAATTCTTCAGTTGTCAATTATGGGACAATGGGGTTGGAAATGGGAAGGGTACAGCTCCCCTCCTCATTTGGCCTTCATCCTCAGGGTGCCCCTCCGACGGCACCAGTCTCTCCGGAAGAAGCTGCGGGCACGGGGCCAGCTCTCTGAGTTTTGGAAATCCCAGAATTTGGACATGATCCAGTTCACTGAGACATGCACAGCGGACCAGAGTGCCAACGAGCCCCTCATCAACTACATAGATGTGAGGACCCAGGGTCTGGGGGCTCCAGCAGGTGCTGGAGAGAGCCAGGGAGGGGGTGGAAGGCCCAGCCTCAGAGCAGGACTAGTGTTGGGGTCAGCAGTGTTAAAGGCCATCCCTGCGCCTGTATGAATACAACCATCACTTATTTTGGCCAAACAAAACTTGTGCCCAAAAGTTCAGAAGGCGAGAATGAGAAGGACTAATGTCTCAAACTGAAGCACCCTGCTTCCACTTTCAGCTGGGCAACTTATTAGCTGTGTGTCCTTAGGAAAAACACTTAGCCTATCTCAATTCCAGGTCCCTGGCCTGTGAAACAGAGGTGTGGTTTCCTTCTCCATCTCGTTCACAGTGAGAATAGGGATACTGTAAGTGAACGCAGAAATAGCCCAGGCCGTGATTCGATTTCTGTTCATGTGACCTTCCGCTGTTCCCTTAGCCTCTCATTTCCCTGCCGCCCCACTTAGCAAGCTCTGTACGTTCTAGCTTATGATGTCCCTAATTCTGGCCCCAGGGCTTTCTCCCCTGGGCCCTGGCAACTCCCAGCTTCTCTCTCTCTTGTTTCTGTAGATGGAATACTTTGGCACCATCTCCATTGGCTCCCCACCGCAGAACTTCACCGTAATCTTCGACACGGGCTCCTCCAATCTCTGGGTGCCCTCTGTGTACTGCACCAGCAAAGCCTGCCGTAAGAGGAAGTGGGAGCCCCTCCAGGGAACGCTGGGGCCAGGGCTGGGAGGGCAGGGCCCTGGGCTCAGGAGGGAGGGAGGGGTCTTGGGCTCCACAGACTTACCATACCACCTTCCTCTTTCCATCCCTAAGTCTACCTGGGAACCTCCTGTGACAGAAACAGGACTGTGACAGAGAAGGAGCTAAAATTGTGGCTGTAGCTTTTTTGTTGATAGAATTAATCAAAGAGGCTTGTGATCTGCCTCCCAGTGTCTCAGAGATAGGGCTAGTGGGGCTGAAGGGCAAAGTCCCACAATGGAACGGGTGGGTCGACTTGGCCAGCGGTAACTCAGGAATCTTGGGAAAGAAAGAGCTAAAAGAAAGTGGTTTTGGCCTGTATAGAACTAGTTCCAGAGGCAGCGTGTGTCAGGAAACCCCAAAACGAGGAGTGAGCAGTGGGGAGTCATTTCTTGGAATGGCTGTTTGTCTCAGAACTCCAGTTGCAGACTAGGTTCTGTCTCGACTGCTGTCTGATAGCAAGGGCTTATCTCTGGGTGCCTGATGAGGTCATTGGGGACAGTCACATTTGCCCACAAACTGCTTGGTCTCACCTGTGACAGAATTCACGACTTTGTTTCTTAGTGCTGCTATACAAAAACTAAAGCACATAAACAGCTTTCACAAATATTTATTTTCTCACAAGGTAGGAGGGGTGTTAGGCTCTCATTCATTCATTATTGCACATTTTACTCCCTCCCCCACTCCCTCCTCCTGCAGTCCACTTTGTAAGGCGCGTCTTGTTCAAGATTGTTGTCACACATTTAAGGTCTAATCACATTTTCCTTTCAGACAGTTCTCCCCTCACCTGTTCCAATACAGTGTTCATTATCCACCCACTCTTTTCCTATTCTTCCCCTACATATCAGTCCTCTTTATAACAGCAGTGTTATAATAAGTGGGAGCCCTCCAGGGAATGCTGGGGCTCGTGCTGGGAGGGCTAGTGCTGGGAGGGCTGGGCCCTGGGCTCAGGAGGGAGCGGCCTTGAGCTCCACAGACTTGCCACACTAGCTCCCCTCCCTCCAGCCCTAAGTCTCCATCCCTAAGTCTACCTGTGACAGAAACAGGACTGTGCCAGAGAAGAAGCTAACATTTTGGCTGTAGCTGAATTCAGGGCACTTGTGGGAGGAAAAAAAAAGAGCTCTGGTGACACAGTCCATCGGGCATCGTGCTGCTACTGGCAGCTCTACTGGCAGGAGACAGGCTGTCCCTCCTGAGCAATCCACAGCTTTGAGAATGCGAGGGAGGGTCAGCCGAGAGCCCGTTCCAGCACAGCGGAGTGTGTAGGAGAAATGTGTGGCAGCCTACTTCCAAAATATTACAGCTTTGGAAATCCTACAAGGTAGCTGTCCTCCGTCCCAGAGTACGACTCTGAGTTGGAGTCGACTGGACGTCAGGTCTAGGCTGTAGGGCACATGCTCTCTGTCTCCTCTGGGAGAAGAGCCCCATCTCTCTCAGCGTCTGCAGGCCTGGTGTTCCTGGGTATATATATTGCCCAGATTGTGCTTCCTTCAATGTCTAATCTGCTCTTTCTCTAACTCATAAGTGACTGGGTTTAGGACACACCCCATACATCTATGACCTCTTTAAACACAGTAAACTTTCAAAAACTTACTGCATTATTCACAATAGCAAAGAGACAGAAGCAGCCCAAGTGCTCATCCACGAACAAATGGATAGAAAAACTGTGGTCCATCTGTACAGTGGAATGGTACGCAGCATTAAAGAGTCGTGAACTTGTAAAACACTACACAACATGAGGAAGCCTAGAAGATATTATCCTGAGTGGAATATCTCAGTCACGAAAGGACAAATACTGCATAATATTGCTATAAAATAGGACTGACATGGATGTTTTAGGAGAAGAATATGGGGGAAATGGATAGATAATAAACACTGTATTAGAAGAGAGGAGGGGAGAACTATCTGAAAGGAAAACATGATTAGACATTGTATGTATGATGACAATCAGGGAGCTCTGGTGACCTAGGGGCAAGAAGCTGCATTGCAGTTGAAGGCATGTAATTCGAGGCTTCCAGCTGCTCTGTGGTAGAGGGATAGGCAGTTTCCTCCTGTGCAATCAACGGCCTCTGAGAACCCGCTGGAGGATCGGCTATGAGTCAATTCCGACTTGATGGTATACAACAACAAAATAGCTATAACAGGTGAAATATCTATCATAAGCTGGAGCAAGGATGAAAGTGACGCAAGTGTTGAGGACTTTCATTCATAGGGTCGCTAGGAGTCGCCTACAGCTCGAGGGCACTTAACAACAACAACCATCGTAAGCTAGAAATCTTATTTATATGTATGATAACAATCTTGAACAAGAGGCGCCTTATAAAGCTGACTGTGGGAGGAGGAAGTAGAGGAGGGAGCAAAATGTGCAACAATGAATGAATGAAAACTTAATATTTCTGTAAACTTTTGTTAAAAATCACAATTTGTTTAAAAAGAGATTAAAAAATACCCCACACCTCACTGCTGTCAAGTCAGCACCAATACATGGCTGACCCTCCAGGGTGTTCACAGAGGCTGTAAAGTGCATGGGAGGAGAGTGCTCATCTTTCTCCCACAGAGCAACTGGTGGATTCAAGCTGCCTGCTTCTGGGTTGGCAGCACAACCCCTTACCCACTAGGCCACCAGAGCTCACTAAGCAGACCAAAGAAAAACCGATTCTTAAATAAGAGTGCGTCCACAGTGTGCAGGTGTGCTGTTGCTGTAGATGCTGTCTAGTTGAGCATGACTTAGGGACCTAGGAACAATAGATGGGACCCTTACCCTATCCTTCACCAGCCTCGTGATCTATCTCCTCCATGCTCATAGATGCAGTCAGTACAGAGGGCAGGTTCTTAGACTTTATTTTGGGAGGTTGTAATTCAATCCATAAAATGCCATGGCAACTGAGTAAGGAGAGTGCTGACAGGCCTTTTTAGAAATTCTTCCCCTTAGGACTGGGATTAGAGGGAAGAGGCCCTGTTCCTGTGGGACTGAGTAGTCCTGGGACGGAAGTGAAAGCAGGGATTTGATGGTCAGCACAAGCGCGCAACACCTTTGTTTTCCAGAAACGCACTCCAAGTTCCACCCTTCGCAGTCCAACACCTACAGCGAGGTGGGGAATACTTTCTCCATCCAGTACGGGACGGGGAGCCTGTCTGGCATCATTGGAGCCGACCAAGTGTCTGTGAGCACTGTTCCTTCATCTTTTCTCTCTTGTGCAGAAACTTGAGGGTGCATTAGAGCTTCCAATTCTGAAGCACTTGGCTGTGGGAGGCTAACATCTGTATTCAGAATTAGAACTCTATTATGATTTTTAACATAGGCTAAGACACCATTTGAGTGTCTTCCTGACCATGTAGATTTGCCCTCAGAGAAAGTGCAGTTGTAATTACAGCTACGAGATCAATTAAGGAAGGACCAATATGCTGAAGTGTGTTCTTAAAAGTTCATGTAGGTAATAGCCCACGTCACCATGTAGCCAAATGCTAGCAGGTAGAATCCTAGAACCAATTCTACAAGCTTTTGTTGTTGTTGTTATTTTGGTGGGTTTAAAAAAAATTTTTATTGTTACTTTTGTACATTAACATATTTTTTCATTCGTATACATTGTATTTCACACATTCCTTCATTCACATTGTGCTTCATACAATCACTTCCATACATAAAATTAATCACCACCAATCCTCACTATTATCCCATCTTTTTAAGATCCCACTGGATCTTTCCTAATTCCTTCATCCCCTCCCTCTGCCCACCAAACTCTGGGATCCTATAGTTTTCCCCTCTCTCCAGCCCCAAGCATCTACCCACTCCCCTTCCCTCTTTGGACTTTTATACACATCTTATTACTTATCCTTCTATTTTTATAATATTGACTTTATCCAGTATTTGTCCTTATGAGCCTGAGTTAATTCACTCAGCGTAATGCTCTCTAGCCTCTCCCATGTTGTATAGCAATTCTATACATTCTTAATTTGAAATTGCATATGAATCCCAATCATGGTCTTCTACTAGCTAAGGTAGGAAGCTAAGGTAGGTGCCTGCCTTTAATAGGGCACAGAATCTTAGAAATTAAAATAGTAGCCAGGAATCAATGCAAAGCAGTCAGTGGCATCATTGATGGATTCCCACACCGCAGAATTGTTTGGTTTTCAATCTTTGTCTTGTTTTATGTCTTAAAAGAATCTCCATGCATTATGTTCAGATACCCCTGGAACAATATTAGGACCTCAGTTCAGACCTGGGAAGGGAGCTACTTAGGTGTGTGGCAGGAAAAAGAGGAAATGGGAGAAGTTACATTTTAGGGGTGGAACTTCCTTTTAAGGAACAGAAAGTCTGTCCTGGCAGAGGGAGCAGCATTCTCAGTCTGAGAAGAGTCAGTCTGTTGCCCCGAGGCCCTGGAAAGTCAGCTTAGGGGAATTTCAACTGGGAAACAGAACACAAAGGAGGAAGCCAGATTCCTGGGTTTACTGTTGGATCTTCAGTCCCTGAAGTACAGGCACCAGACTGCCATTCTGAAAGATAAAGAAGTTCAAGCCACCTGTCACAGTGGGAACCTACAAGGTATAAAATGGAAGTCAGGCTGAAGAGAAAGACCCAAGATTAGCACTGAATGTAGTGCTGAGCACTTGAGCTGACTGAAGGGTCGGTAGATCCCTGGACTTCAGAATTAGCTGAGCCTGGGACAATCCTGGTTCTGCCTGAGGTCCTTCATCCAGGTGAACAGCTACAGCATCTATAAGGCCTTTAGGAGAGTTGAGACTGACCACTTCCTGTGTTCTAGTTCTAGGCTGTTCCCCCAGCCAGCAGGACACAACTGTCACCAACATCTCCACAAAGTGGGATAAGATATATCATTGATCTGGTGTGAAAAGCAATGTATTCAAATTTTGTAAATATAAATTTTTTTTATAAAAGACACTTATAGAAAAACAAACAATACACCTACTGAAACATAAAAAAAAAAACCCACCCACACCTACCAGTAGCTCTATAGGAGAAAAAAAGAAAAGAAAAAAGATAAATCATTGAGTGAAAATGAAGCAGGACCAAAATAACACTAAGTTAAAAATATTACAAATAGATAAAACAGTATTGTTTTCTACTGAAACATATATATTGATGTTCACTAAAGGCATGCATAAGGAGCACTAGCAACAATAGACAAATATAAGGAGTAACCCAAATACTCATCAATGGCAGAATAGACAAGTAAATGATCTATATCACATCATGACATACAAATTATAATAAACATATATACTAACAGCATGAAGTAAATATAATGTTAAGTGAAAGAAGCCAATTACAGAAGAGTTTCTACTGTATTATTCCTGTCATATAAAAATCAAAAGTAGGTAAAACTAATACATATTCGTCAAGCTCATGAGACTGGGTACCCTTGAGGAAGCATGAATAATTGGAAGGTGCAGGAGAGGCCTTCTAGGTTTTTTAATGTATTGTTTATTTGGGAGATGAGTAGAATGGCAACTTATGAAACTAGTTACCATTTATGAAATTCATTTAACTGTACACTTAGGATTTCTTCAAGTAATTGAAATATACACTTATAATTTCAATTAATTAAAATCAATTAATAAGTTTACATTTAAAAAAAAGAAAGTGAGTGAGATAATGGACAAAATTGTCATGCCCATTTAATCTAGGAAAATAGAAAGGAAGGGAAATTAGGTTTAAGGGCAGAAAGAAAATCCAAGAATCCTAACTGCTTTCTCAGAAATTTTCCTGTGCGATGATCCGTGCTTTGTTTCTATCAGGTGGAAGGATTGACAGTGGTCAACCAGCAGTTTGGAGAGAGTGTCAAGGAGCCAGGCCAGACCTTTGTGGATGCAGAGTTTGACGGAATTCTTGGCTTGGGATACCCTTCCTTGGCTGTTGGAGGAGTGACTCCAGTGTTTGACAACATGATGGCCCAAAATGTGGTGGATCTACCTGTGTTTTCTGTATACATGAGCAAGTAAGTCTCCTTATTTTGTGGTTGGTTGTTGCTCCAGTGTATAGCGTGGGGTATCTAAAAGAGCATTGAATTTCTTAGTCAAAGGACAGGGTATGGATATCTTGCTTGGTTTTCTTACTGTGTAACTTATTCTCTCTGAATATTGAAGAATGAGGATTTTATCTCTTAGAGTTGATAGAAATGTTGTTGTCGTTGTTGTTATGTGCCATCGAGTCATTTGCGACTCATAGCCACCCTATATATAAGAGCCCTAAACGCCGTTCTATCCTGTGCCAACCTCGCTGTCTCAAACACATTCATTCCCACCACTCCACTCACAGAACTGATCCATCTCATCGAGGGTCTTCCTCTCCTGTGCCATGCCTCCACTCTCTCAAACATGATGTCCCTCTCCAAGGACCAGTCCCTCCTTGCAGCATGTCCAAAGTATGTCAGACAAAGCTTCAGAATCCTTGACTCCAAGGAGCATTCTGGCTTCACCCTCTCCAGGACAAACTTGTTTGTTCTCCTAGCAGTCCGTGGTATTCAACACTCTTCTCCAGCACCACAACTCTTTTAAAGCTACACAACACTGAGCTTTTGTAAAGAAATTTCTAGAATTGGTTATTCATTTATTCAGTCAATAAAAAGTTATTAAATTATGATTGTGTGCCAAATATGCTAAAAGGCACTGAAAATGAAGAAGAAAAGTCATTGTCTTCAAGAAGCTGAATTTTAGCGGGAAAAGGCAGAAGAAAATGAAAAGTAAGATAATACATTTACTTGTATGTTTCATAACTACAAAGTGAAGAGGCAATCTGTGGATTGGAGGAAGATATTTAGATATAGAAGATATACATTATATAGATAATGTGTAATATATATAAGACATTTAGATATATATAAGACATTATATTTTAATCTGATGTTTTAGGGAGTTCTGGTGGAACTCCCTAAGTCCTAAGGAAGTTGCTTTGCTAACCAAAGGCCATGCATCTCTAGTGGTTTGAATCTACCAGTGACTCTTTTGGAGAAAGATGGGCATTGTCCTCCTGTGAGAATGGAAGCCCCTTGGAGAGTCAGCAATGACAATTCAATGGCAATGAGTGCAATTTAAAGATATTTAATGTCCAGAATATACAAAGAATTCCTACAATTCAACAACAAAAATAAACAACCCAATCAAAAAACGGGCAAAGAACTTGAGTAGTTGTTTTACTAAGGAAGACATACAAATATCCAACAAACACATAAAATTATGTTCAACATCTTAAGTCATAGTTGTTGTTCTTGTTAGGTGCTGTCAGGTCAAGTATGACTCCTAGCAACATTATGAGCAAGAGATCTAAACCCTGTCCTTTCTTGTGCTGTCCATGTCGTCTCTAACATTCTTGCTTCCAGTGCTGCAGTCATCATGTCAATCCATTTCATTGAGGGTCTCCCTTTCTTTCTCCAACCCTCCACCTTTCCTAGCATGGTGTCTCTTTCCAAGGAATAATCTCTCCAACATGCCCAGAGTAAGTGAGACAAAACTTCACCATTCTGGCCTTCAAGGAGCACTCTGACTACTCTTTTTCCAAGACCATATCTGTTTGTTCTTTTGGCATAATGAGTTTAGTCATTAAGGAAATACAAATCAAAACTACAATGATATTCCATTTCTTTTCCCCTAAAACCATTGCTGTTGAGTCAGTTTTGACTAACGGTGACCCTTTGGCATCAGCAGTCAAAAAATCAAAACACTGATTGCATTAGGAAAATCTGCTTTTAGAGACCTTTCCAGAGTGCTGAAGAGCAATGATGTCAGTTTAGAGATTAAGGTGTATCTTATCCAGGCCATGGTCTTTGCATTTACTTGCTATGCATCTGAGAGCTTGACAATGAGCAAAGGTTACAGAATAATTGATGCCTTTAAGTTGTGGTGCTAGAGAAGAGTATTGATTGTACCTTAGACTACCAAGAGAACTAACAGATATGCCTTGGAGAAGGTAAAACCAAGCTGCTCCTAGGAGGAAAGAATTTTGAAGCTCTGTCTTACATACTTTGAGTATGTTTCCAGGAAGGACCAGTACTTGGAGAAGGACATCATTCTTAGAAAGGTGGAGGTACAGTGTAAGAGACGAAGACCCTGGATGAGATGGGCTGACACAGTAATAATGAGGATGGTGTGTCGGAGAGAATACGATTAGCTCAGGATAGAGCAGGTTTAAGAGTGATTGTGCATAGGGTCACTGTGAGTCTTAAGTGACTTAACAACACATAGTAACAACTGAAAAATAGTAATCATCTAGAAAGTGATCCCCGTTTTCCTCTTCCTCTCATCCCTGGTAACCATAAAATAATATTACTTTCTGTGTATATGTATCTATACTTTTTACTATAATGGCTAATATTTTGGAAGTGGATTAACAGTTTTTTCTGAGGTTCCAGTGGATGGACTAGATTCTCTAACCTTATATTTAACTGTTTGCACTCCTCGTCCCTACCAGGACGGCTTTTATCAGGAAAACAAGCGTTGGCAAGGATGGGGAGTCACTGAAATCCTCATTCATTGTTGATGGGAAAGAAAGACAGTACAACTACTACAGAAATCAGTTTGATGGTTCCTTAAAAAATTAAAAATAGAATTACAGTATGACCCAGTAATTCTACTCCTATGTAGATATTTGAAAGGAGGAGGGATTCAATATTTGTACACTAATATTCATTGCAGCACTCTGCACAATAGCCAGAAGGTAGAAACAACCTAAATGTTCACCAATAAATAAATGGATATAGGAACTATGCTGGCTAAATGATGAGGAGTTGTGCTGCCAACCAAAAGTCAGGAGGTTCAACTCCACCAACAGCTCTGTGAGAGAGAGATGAAAGATGGACGATCTCCTGTCCAATTTACTGCCTTTGAAAACCCACTGGAGTGTCAGCTGTGGATTGGTTCTGACTCAATGGTACGCAACAACAACAACTGATATAAAATAGCTGAAATAGTTGAGCTCATACTGTTTATTGTTGTTAGGTGTCTGAGTCACATATGACTCACAGTGACTCTATGAACTCATAGTGACCCTATGAACCATGTCCTATCTTGTGCTATCATCATCCCCATTACTGTAGAGATTGTATCAATTTATCTCACTGAGAGTCTCCTCTCCTTTGCTAACCCTCCACCTTTCCAAGCATGATGTCCCTTTCTAAGGAACAGCCTCTCTTAACAACATGCTAAAAGTATATGAGACAAAGCTTCACTATCTTTGCCGCCAAGCAGCAATCTGGTTGCACCTTCCCTAAGCCATATCTGTTTGTTCTTTTGGCAGTCCATGTAATACTCAGTACTCTTCTCAACACCATAACTCAAAGGTATTTCTTCTTCTCTTGTCATCCTTATTCATTGTCCAGTTCTCAACTGTATAGTAGATAACTGGGGTAGAGGGGACTTGGCTTGAATCAAGTGTACCTTGGTCTTTAAACTAACATCATCGCTGTTTAAGACTTTGGTAAAGTGTTTGAAAGAAGACTCTTCTAATGCAATACATCTCCTGATTTCCTGACTGCTGGTACCAAGGGTGTTGATTGTGAATCTAAGTGAGATGAAATAGTTGACAATTTCAATCTTATCTCCATTTATCATGATGTCACCTATTAGCCCAGAGGTGAGGATCTTTGCTTTCTTGATGCTGAGATGTAATCCATACTGAAGGCTGTAGTTCGTGATCTCTGTAGCAAGTGCCTCCAGCTCTCCTTGCTTTCAGCAAACAAGTTTGTGTCTATATGCATAATACAGGTCATTGATGAGTCTTCCTCCAATCTTGATGACACATTCTTCTTCATAAAGTCCAGCTTTTCTAATGATTTACTCAACATACTGATTGAAAAGGTATGGAGAAAGGATATAGCCTTGACACACACCCTTCTTAATTTTAAACCAGGCAGCATTCCCTTATTGTTTGGACAATAGCTTCTTGGTCAAAGTATAGATTTCTCATAAGTATAATTAAATATGCTAAAATTCCCTTTCTTCTCAATGTTAACCATAGTTTGTTAAGATGTTGTTGGTGTTATGTGCCATCAAGTTGTCTGTGACTCATAGCAACACTATTTACAAAAGCTCTGAACTCTGCCCTATCCTGAGCCAATCTCATTGTCTCTGATGCACTCACCACTAAGATCCCATTTACTGTGTTATTCAACCTCATCCAGGGTCTTCGTCTCCTGCACTGTCCCTTCATCCTTCCAAGCATGATGTTCTTCTCTAAGGACTGGTCCTCTGAGCAACATGCCTGAAGTATAAAATATGAAGCCTCAAAATCCTTGCCTCCTAGGAGCAACCTTGTTTTACCCTCTCTAGGACAGACCTGTTTGTTTTCTTTGCAATCCACAATGTGTTCTATACTCTTCTCCAGCACCACAACTCAAAGGCAGTGATTCTTCTTCTATGGTCCTTAGTCATTGTCCAGTTCTTTGATGCATAACAAGTAATTGTGAAGATCATGGCTTTGATCTGGCGCACCTTGGTCTCTAGATTAACATCGTTGTTCTTCAGTACTCTGGAGAGGTCCCTGAGTGTAAATTTTCCTAGTACAATTGTCTTTTGATTTTTTTACTCCCAGTGCTATGAGTGTTGATTGTGGAACAAAACAAGCTGAAATTGTTAACAATCTCAAACTCTTCTCCATTTACCATGATGCTGCCTATTGGCCCAATGGTGAGAATCTTTGGTTTCTTGATTTTGAGCTTTAATCCATATTGAAGACTGCAGTCCCTGGCCTTCTGCAGCAAGTGCTTCACATGTCATCAAGCACGTTTGTGTCATATGCATATCTCAGGTTGTTGATGAGTCTTCCTCCAATCCTAATGTCACATTTCTCCCCATTAAGTCCAGCCTCCCAAAAGATCCATTCTGCAGATAGATTGAGAAGGTATGGAGACAGGACACATCCCTGACACACTCTTTTCCTGATTTTGAACCATGTAGTGTTTCCTCACTCTGTCTTGATAACTAAACTACTTCCTGATCCAGACTT